CCAGTGACACTGGGAAGCCGGACGTGTTTCCTGCTTCTCCGGAACTGCCACTTTCAAAGCAAGAGGAAAGGAAAATAGAGGCTGAGGAGAGAGACCAAAAAGGAGAAGAGAAGAATCAGAAAAGGAAAGACAAGAAGAACCAAAAGGGGCAAGAGGAGGCGGAGCTACCCAGCAAGGAGAAGACGCAGGGCAAGCGGAGGCGCCAGACATCTGTGAGTGAGCAGGTGAGTCACTCGGGGTGGGGGGGTTGTGCCTCAACCCACCAGAAAAAGGAGCATTGGTGAAGCCAGCCTAACCTGTTGGAGTAAGGGCAGCGAGAGTTAGGGGCCAGCCACCAGTGGTGCAAGAAGAGCAGAGGGAGGTTGTCACCCAGGGCTGCCGGAGGGCAGTCCTGGGCATTCTCCTACCTATCACCTCAGGAAACAGTGAATAAGAAGGCCAAGAAAGCTGGTCTGTCAGAGGACGACAGTGGCGTGGAAGTATATTATCGAGAAGGAGAAGAGGAGATAGAAGAGACAAATGTGCTGCCCAAGGTGAGGGATGAGGTTGAATGGAGGGGGAGAGGCTGCCCTGGGGCTAGGAGGAGTTGGTTTGTTTTCAGCCCCATCCTGTTCCCTCATTTCCTATAAAACATGAAAGTGAAAGTCTGGGGCGAGGGGGGGCGGGTGGCGCTGTGATAAGGGGGCTGTCAGTTTCCTCCCTTGATTGTGGGCTCCTTGAGGGCAGGGATCCTGTTTACCAAGAGTAGCTGCATAAAATAAATTCTGTGAATGTTAGAGGCACAGGCAAATCAGAGGAGGCTTAGCCAGTCTGTGCCTGCATCCTCTGAAAAATGAGAATAATACTTGAGCCGAGAGGACTGGGTATTGGGTGCCTTATACCCACCGGTAGGGCTTCCCAGACTAGAGGTACTTATATCCTTGCCACCCTTGGAATTTTTGTTATATCTCTGTCCCAGCTCTGCTGATGTTTTAAATAAGTTTGCATATATATATATATATTTGAAAAGTGTGTTACCTAAGTAAATTTATTTACGAGGAAAAATTTTACGTCCCTGCTATGAAACTTCCCCAGTAGGCTGGGGCTGAACCTGTCCTGTCTCTGGGTGGGAGGCCATGCTCCTCTGGGTGGGCTCAGGCTGAGCCTGTCCCGTCTCTTGGCAGAAGGCTGTGCTCCTCTGGGTAGGTTGGGGTTGGGGATCAGGGAGCAGCCTGAGCCAAGTGCTTTCTTTGGCACTTCTGTGGTCTTCCAGGAGAAGCAGCAAACCAGGCCAGCAGAAGCACCCCGGCTGCAGCTGTCTTCAGGCTTCGCTTGGAACGTGGGCTTAGACTCTCTGACCCCGGCCTTGCCACCTCGAGCAGAGAGCTCAGACAGCGAGGAAGATGAGAACCCACACCAAGCCGTGGTACTGTTTTCCAGGGCTTTGTCATTTTTTTTGCAGGGGTCCCTTGGTACCAACCTCCTGCTCTGTTCTAGCATGGGTGATAACGGGAGGGACCCATGGACTGCCCTGCCAACTTACAGCTTTCACAACAGACTTCCCCCGGGACTTGAGGAACAGATTATTCACTATTTTTTACCTTCTATAGCAGAAAAAGAGAAGCAAGAAGGAAAAGGAATTGGAAAAGCAAAAGGCAGAAAAAGAACTGTCCCGCATTGAGGAGGCACTGATGGATCCCAGGCGCCCGCCAGAGTCAGCGGATGATTTTGACCGACTTGTGCTAAGCTCCCCCAACAGCTCCATCCTGTGGCTGCAATACATGGCTTTTCACCTGCAGGCCACGGAGATTGAGAAGGCCCGTGCTGTGGCCGAGAGAGCTCTTAAGACCATCTCTTTCAGGTTAGGTTTTGCCTCTTTAGATGGGGCCCACTGTGTTTCCTAAGTACTGGGCTGGCAGGGTTTGCTACCCATGGGTCACTTCCTCCCAGGCAGGCCAGCAGCAATGTGGGTGGCTGCCACCAGGGGCCCCTAAGTTTCTAGGCTTTCTCTCACAGTGGTGACGCTCTGTGAAATAGATCTGCTCATTTATATTTTACAGTCTTCTTCACTGTAATAGCTAAGGGTAATCTTTATGAGAGTCCCTACACTTAAATAAGGTGCCCACTTTGGAGCAGAAGTAGAATAGGAAAACAGCTCTCTATGTACCTGGGTGAAAACCCCATAGTTGGCCATTTTCCAGGCAGGGAGGAGAGTTGGTTTTCTGAAGCCTGGTGAGGAAGCTTTGCAGTCCTTTGCTTCATTCTCTTAGATTGTAGAAAGAATCAGACCCAAGAGTCTGCTTCCAGCCCAGACCTTAGGCCTGTGGGATATTTAATAAGCTCCCTTCCTAGAAATGGAAGCAGAAACCAGGGGAGCCTCCACTGGCAGGCAGGGGTGGGGGTGTGGTATTCCTAATGCTATGTGCGCCTCTCAGTGCCTATGCTTGGGGGTGGGATCCTAGCATGTGGATGGGGCCTGGGAGGAGGAGGGAGGTCCATTGGGCTGAGTTGATGAAGCTCATGTGCCAACTGCATCCTGTCCAGAGAGGAGCAGGAAAAGCTGAATGTGTGGGTGGCACTGCTCAACCTGGAAAACATGTACGGGTCTCAGGAGTCTCTGACCAAGGTGTTCGAGCGGGCTGTGCAGTACAACGAGCCTCTCAAGGTCTATCTCCACCTGGCTGACATCTATGCCAAATCAGAGAAATTTCAGGTAGGAGCTTTGTGGTCAGTTGCCAGCATATCCTCAGCCTCACAAATGGACTCCAGGGAGTCACAGCAGCAGCAGTTTCAGGGAAGGACCTCAGGTTCTGGGTCCAGTCCTACCCTGAGCTTGCTACCTGATGTCTGGGTCTTAACTTCCTTATCTCCCAAGTAAGAGAAGTCATTTCCCCACCTCCACTGTGGTGCTATGGGCTGGGGTGAGGGAAGCAGTGGCTTGGGAAGAGAAGGGATAGGGGACCCCAGTGTGTATGCCTGGGGCTGCTGGCGGGGCATTACAGATAGAGACATAGCGGACTCCGCTCATTGTAGGTGCAGGCTTAGTGCGGACATACCCCATCATTTGGTGTCTCCTTCCTTGGTTCTCTTCTCAAGAGTCTCTTTCCCTGCCCCTTTCAGGTCTCTGGATTGAGGCCCAGGTAGTGACTGGGCATCTGAGAGCCCGAGTCTAGCTTTTCATGAGTGTCCCCGCCTGCCTTTGTTGTCCTCCCTGTAGTATCACACTCTCCTCAGTTTGCCTGCCTTTTCCTACAGGAAGCTGGTGAACTCTACAACCGGATGCTGAAGCGTTTCCGGCAGGAGAAAGCTGTGTGGATCAAATATGGTGCCTTTCTCCTGCGGAGGAGCCAGGCTGGGGCCAGCCACCGTGTGCTACAGCGAGCCCTCGAGTGCCTGCCCAGAAAGGAGCGTGAGTGCCCGTTCCGATTCCTGATGTCTGGGAGTAGGGATTGGGGCCCTTCTCATCCTGGGATGGTGTTGCGTCTAAGTTGGGAGAGCCTGTGGAGGGTGCATCACTATCTCTAGCATAACAATGCACACTACTTTTCAAATGCTGGACCCCAAAAGATGGAGGAACAAAAACTATTAGCACTAATTCTCTTGCTCCTGGGACCCTCCATCTCTTCTGGGCCCAGAGAGTAGGGCATCTGCATCTGTGAATTTGACCCTGAACCCATCTCCACTGTCTTTTTGGGGTTAGTCATAACCTACATCTTGGGGATTAAGTGGGGAGTCAGACTCGCTCTCCCTGCAGTACACGGTATTGTGGTGAGAGATTCTGTCTGCATGTTGGGCCTCTGAGCTGTCTTCTCCCTGCAGACATAGATGTGATTGCCAAGTTTGCCCAGCTTGAGTTCCAGCTGGGGGATGCAGAGCGGGCCAAAGCCATTTTTGAGAATATGCTGAGCATCTACCCAAAGCGCACAGATGTCTGGTCGGTCTACATTGACATGACCATCAAGCACTGCAGCCAGAAGGAAGTCCGGTGAGAGGGGAACACAAACCAAGGCTGAATTTCTCAGTGGTAGCTGGGGGAGGAGGGTGTCATTGGACAGGCTGATGATTGGTTGCCCCACCGCAGCTCCCAGATCTCCAAGTCTCTTATATGATCTAGAAAAACAGCTTTGTCATGACACCCCAGAGCCGAAAACATTTACTTTTCCAGCTACTTTTCCTGCCTCAAAAGCCAGCCTCTGGTCTGTGTCTAGGACCATTAGTGGCAGGTAGCCTGGCCCCTGGCCTGGGAGTCAGGACACTTGGGATTCCTTGTGATTAATGCTGTGTCTGGCTCTGGCTGAGCTTTACTCACAGATCTATCCTCATTATATGTCCCAATCCCAGTAGCTTTGTCCTGATTCACTATGTGACTTTAGACAAGTAAGTCCTTCAACATCCCTGGGTATCTGTCTGCTCGTCTGGAAATGAAGGTGGTGGTGTCTCTCCCTGTGGGACCTCATAGTGGTAGTGAAAATACAGGTGGAAGTGGGAGTCCTGGATGATAGGAGGTCCTGGCTTGAGAGCCCAAAAGCAGGCTGGTGAGCACTGGCCAGGAAGGGTGTGATCTGGGCCTGGGAGGCAAATGTTGCCCTCTTCTTCCTCACAGGGACATCTTTGAGCGAGTCATTCATCTGAGCCTAGCCCCCAAGAGAATGAAGTTCTTTTTCAAGCGCTACCTGGACTATGAGAAGCAGCATGGCACAGAGAAGGACGTGCAGGCTGTCAAGGCCAAGGCCTTAGAATATGTGGAGGCCAAGAGCTCAGTCCTGGAGGAATAGTTATGGTCTGGCTCTGCAGGTGTGGCAGCAGTGGGCCACCCTGGTCCCACTTCAGGTGCTGGGCACTCAACAAACCTGTGTGCTAAGGACTTTATTTATGTGCTGCTTTTTCTGCAGCGTGTGCTTGCCGTAATCCTATTGGGATGAACAGGAATTTGAGATTGCTTTTAATTCCTCATTGCCTATTTTGTTTTAAGTACCAATTTATGTCATCTTTTCCCTGTTCTGTGATTGCTCAGTGATTACATCTGCAGCCCTGGAGCTCCCATAAAAGCCAAGTGTCCTTCCTTCAAGGAGTTCCCTGGGGAACAAGAGCAGATGGGCTGACTCTAAAGGATCTTGTGGTTAGGATCCCACTTTGTCCCTGGTAAGCTGTCCTTCCAGTCCAGTAGAGTCTAGGGAGCAGGCCCTCCCCTACAATCTTGCAATCTCAGGCACCTCCTCAGTCTCAGCTCAGCTAGTGCTTTTCACACAGTAGTGGAGGCTATGAGGCTGGGACAGCAGGACACAGCTCAGAGGGAAGATTGGGAGCCCTGATCTGCAGAGGAAAGCCACAGGCATTGGCTTAAACGCCTATGATGTCCCATTCTTAGGCCCACCTTGGCCAGGTCACCTAACCTCTCCCCATCTGGTATATTCCAGAGTTCTTAGAGGCTAACATAGATCCAGCCAGTGGTTGAAGCCAGTTCTGTTTTGGCTTAGCTCTGAGGGAATTAAAAATTTTCTCTAGCAGAGCCTTAAATGTCCTGACAGCTTTTCTATGGGAAATAACTGAGTCATACGCCAGGAAGGTTTGAGAGCAGGTGGAGGTAGTGGGATAGGGGTAGGAGGAAGGAGAGGCTAGGGCTGGCCTGGTCAGTCACACAAGGTTACAAGAGCTAGTTCTATCCTACTGAGTGCAGGATCTTCTGGCTGTTGAAATTTCAAATTGAGCTTTCCTCTGAGAAAGGCCAGGCCTCATCTATTCCCCAGACCAAATCAGATCATTGAATTCAAATGTGAAGCCTTCCCCTGTGTGTGACACCTGGGGTTCCCTGTACCCTTGCCACCTCAGTGGCATTTTAGTTCTGCCCCCTTCCCTCCCACGGGGTGTGGGGTTTGGGCCTGGCCCCATGCCCACCAGCCTGCTGTGGCATGGCCCATTCAATCATACAGATGCCACTCTGGTCCCTTATAGTAAGAAAAGCTTTATCAAAAACTTAAATGTATAAAATAAGGCCAGAGGTGTCCCTTGAAGGGCAGCTTCCCAGCAGGGTGCTGCTGAACTGGGTGTCCCCTATGCAGTTAGACACAAATTAACTGCACAATGTACTGTATAAGCAATGTACTAGTGACTTTCACTGTCACCAGGACCTGCTGTCTGGGATTTCACAGCTTGGCGTCCCAGCCCATAAAATCATCCATGTCATAGTTATTAGAGACCAGCTCCGGGAAAGTCTTTCCCCAAGCTGTTGACCAAGTAGGGTGGTGGGAACGGGAGATGGAGTTTCTTTAGGTCAGAGTTGATCACGTTGTCTACTGGATTATTCTGTAGCCCAGATTGCCTTGTGTTCCTCTCCTCTGGTCTGTTTGCCCAAGAAGCCAGTTTAAAAAAGAAAATCCCCTTTGGTGTGAGCAGGCTGAGGGGTTCAGTTTGGGACCAAGTAGTGCCATTTGTAAAGAGCCTGGGAATCAGGTCCTTAGGAGGCCAGCAGGGCCATCTCCACATTGTCAGGAGCTGCGCCATTGCCCGCCAGACCCTGGGCCCACTTGTGTAGGCGGCTGTAGAGTGGGAGGCCCTGGTTCTCACGGTACAAATAGACACCGGTGATGGCGTTCCACTGTGGCCGCGGCTGTGTACCTTCCACTGGGAAGTTGGTGACCAGCTCCTCGTCATCCTTGTTGAGTGCCACAAAGCCGAAGAAGCGGCGCACGTTGTTGGCGGCAAGCACCCGAGAGTGCACCTCAGCTGTGCGCTGGAACAGCTGGTCCTCGTTGGCGCGGTACTGTGCCCAGTAGGCCTCCTGGCGGTAGCTAAGCGGCGAGCAGTAATGCTTCAGGCACTTGGTCAGGAACACCAGGATGGCCACCACGCCAATGAGCAGCCACCCAAAGAGCTGGCCAGAGAATGGGCAGGGTTCAGGAGGGGCAAGTTGCTGCCTGGACCTGCCCACCAGGGAGAAGCTGAGGGAGGAGCAGATTCTGCTTCCATGAGGGAAGCAGCCCCTTCCTCCTTTTCCCTTAACTCCCTTTAACTCACACTTCCCTTGTTCTTAGACTTTGCCTCCTGCATTTCCTGCCACACCTTCAACCCCAAGGGTGCCTCCTTCCCCAGCCCATCTTCTCGCACCAGCCAAACACATTTCAGCCTGCTAGGCTTGGCTCAGATGCCACCTCCAGGAAGCCTTCAGAGGCCCGTCTTGGAGCAAACCTGCCTTGCCTGAGTTCCCCATGGCCCGGTTCCTTCTACATCTTCACTGTGTGCCTTGTTTGGAGACCACTGCATGCTTGTCTCAAACACTTGGTTGATTTTAAGCCTATTGAGGGCAAAGGCAGTCAAGTTTTGTTTCCCCACTCCTGTACAGAGATCTGTGGGCATTTGTATCAGTATTAAAGAAGTTGCATTGATAATCTCTACTTTCCTTGTTTCTTTTTTTTTTTTTTTTTTTTTTTTGAGACAGAGCCTCAAGCTGTCACCCTGGGTAGAGTGCCGTGGCATTACAGCTCACAGCAACCTCCAACTCCTGGGCTCAAGCGAGTCTCCTGCCTCCGCCTCCCAAGTAGCTGGGACCACAGGCGCCCGCCACAACGCCCGGTTATTTTTTTTTTGGTTGCAGCCGTCATTGTTGTTTGGCAGGTCCGGGCTGGGGATTCGAACCCACCACCTTAGGTGTACGTGGCTGGCGCCTTAGCCGGTTGAGCTATAGGCGCTGAGCCACTTTTCTTGTTTCTTACATACCTGAGAGAAGAGACCTTTTAAAGCAGGGGTCCTCAAACTTTTAAACGGGGCCAGTCCACTGTCTCTCAGACTGTTGGAGGGCCAGACTGCGGGCCCTGGGACGAGTTGGCTGCTAAGCAGGATAGGCAGCGGCGGCAAAAACACCGGCAGGCTGGATAAATGTTCTAGGTGGGCTGCATGTGGCCTACGGGCCGTAGTTTGAGGACCCCTATTTTAAAATCTTGTGCTCTTCTTGTGTCTCCCTCACCTGCTTCTCTGAGTTAACACATTGGCTCAGGTTCCTGCTACTGCTCAGTGTTCTTCCCCGACCCTCTCTCCAGGACCAACCACTCCTTCAGAACTCAGCGGAGGCTGAGGCCAGGGTCAGGGCAGCAGCTGCCACTTCTTGACTCTCACACCCCTTCCTGACCCTAGGGACTCCCCTGATGTCAGCAGTACTTGAGGCTGACTCAGTGCGGGTCTCAGTCCTTCTGGGCTAGGCATATGTTCATCCCAGAGCCAGCTACACTCCATTGTCAGTTCATGGCCCATGGCAAATGTTTCTGAGGTGACTTGCCGGGATCATGCTTTGGCTGGGGTAATGGGCCTATTTGTGACAGGGATCAAGGCTCAGCCTGAGCCAAGAGAATATTCCTTTAATGTTTAAAACTCTCTCTTTTATTTTAAAGAGTCAGTGCCTGTTGCTCAGGCTAGATGCAGTGGCATGATAATAGCTGACTGTAGCCTTGAACTGTGCTGAAGCAATCTTCCTATCTCAGCCTCCTGAGTAACTGGGAATACAGGTGCATGCTCCCATGCCTGGCTATGTCTTTTATTTTGTTTTTGTTTTTGGTAGAGAAGGGGATCTCTATGTTGTCCAGGCTAGTCTCAAACTCTTGGTCTGAAGCCATCCTCCCACCTCCCAAAGTGCTAGAATTATAGGTCTGAGCCATTGTGGCTACCTGGCCTCTCTTATTTAGGACTGGAGTTGACCCTTGCCCCCCAAGCACTAATCTATAGGTTAACCAGTTCTAATACCTGATCCCACTGTAGTGCTTTCCCAGAAAACTGCCCCTGTGGGCCAACTCCAGTTTTAATGTTGGGCCATCCCAGCATCTCCCACCAGCTACCACCTTGGGGAAGGAAGAGCTTCCCTTTACATGTCCTTACCTGGGACTCATACTTTAGCCTGCGGCTGACCTCCTCTCGGAAGCCTGACAGGTTTGCAGGGCCCTCCCCACAAGGGAACCTGGCCAGGATTTCGGTAGCATGGGCTGGTGGGAAGCCTTCTTCCCCGACTGTGAGTGAGGAGGGGTCCACAAACTCACTGAGAGCACAGACGTAAGCCTCACCACGCAGCAGGGAGATGACAGACCAGGTGACAGGAGCCACGGCCGCGCGGCCCAGGATGGAGCTTAGGAGGAGGAAGTTGGGGGCAGCTGAGCAGTTCTTGGCCCTCCGGTACTGGCACTCAGTGACAAGGTTCCAAGTGTGGTTGTTGAGGATGATGCCAATGAGGAAGAGTGCCAGGGCAGGCACGCCGATGGCTGTCAGCCCATACAGGTAGTTCCTGGCCGGTGAGCAGGGGCAGTGGAAGGCCACGACAGAGAACACCTCCTGGCTGCCCACTGTGCCCAGTGCCACCAGCCCATTGAAAATCATCACATCTTTGCTCTTGAAGAAGAGTGACAGGAAGCGGAAGTTCTCTGCTATCAGTGCAGCCATGGTGACTAGTCAGCTGGGGGACCGGACGGCAGGAGGAGCAGTTGATGGTTCCCGTGGGGCTAGGAAGGAGTGCAGGCCAATGGGTAACTGAAGGCAGGGCCTGGCTGGGCCATCCTAGCCATGCGTGATAGGGTGACCTGGTGCTTCCTCCTGTGGAACAGCAGATGAACGTTTGCCTGGGAAAATGGAGGGTGGAGGAGGATGCTAGTGTGGCCAGACTGGGAGAGAGGAAGGAGTACCCTGGGGAAATGACAGTTGCTGCTGTTGACTGAGCTATCTGCTGTCAGGCCCTTTACATTGAGCTGCTATGTCCCTGCCACATGCAAGAGCAGGTAGAGGTTCCTGAGGGTGAGTGGCTGCCCTGTTCCCATGTGGGCGGCAGAACTGAGGTTCAAGCTTGGGTCTATCTACCACAAACACTCTCGGGTCCTTTTTGCCACCACAAGCTTCTCTCAGGACAGGGTTAGGAACAGCCCTGTGGATGTGGGACCCTGACAAGCATTCCCTCTGGGATTCAGGGAGGTGCCAGTGCACTGAGGGGCCTGTGCCCCCTATGGGTGTGGAAGCTGGGGTTTACGTTATGGTGGACAAGGGACTCGGACAAGATCCTTGGGTAGGGGGTGGGCAGGGTGGACACAGCAAGACACCAGCCCCCTGGAGCCCACAAGAACATTTCATTTTGGAGACCTCAGGGTCTGGACTGTTTAGGGGGGGTCTGGCTCTCAACACACTTCATGACTTTTCTCTGGGCCTCAGTTTCCTCATCTGTGAAAAAAAGGATAAATCCTTGCTCTCTTCCTAGGAATGTTGGAGGAAAAGAAAAGGAATAAAAGATGCCTGATAATTGTCCTGTGTGTGAAATCCTCCCCCACTCCCATTCTATCAGGTCTTCAAGGTGGGGATGGTTCTCTAGCCTGCAAATGTCAGGAAAATAGGGCCTGAAGAGGATAAAGTACCTTAAGGCCAAACAAATAATGGAGGTATCTGGGCAGGACTTTTGACTACAGTCTCAGGAGATTTGGGAAGTAGACATCATGAGCCTGAGCTCAGTGAGTCCTCCATTTTCCCAGTGTCCTAAGGACCTTGCTGTATCCATCCATAAGAGCCCCGGCAAACCTCCTCAGCCCTGACCCCTTTCCTATCCAGCAGCTTCCCAAAGGCCCTCACACGGCTGAGCCCAGGACCACCCAGCCTGCCAGCAACGAGAAGCCTTGATGAAAAGAAGGCTCAGTGGTGCCTCTAGCCCATCAGGAACCCACTCAGCCTTGGTCTGGGCTGCAGCAGGCTGGCAACTTGCCAGGAAGTGGCCATGGTCCCAGGCTTCTGCAAAGTTTAGCCCCAACTCCCTTCCCAGGCTCCACCTACACAAGCCGGAGAGGCCAGGGTGTGGCCCCATGTCCTTCTCCCCATCTGGAAGATGAAAAACAAAAATCCGCAGGCAGAAGGGAGCCAGGGAATGGAGGGCTAGGTAGGCAGCAAACACAGGGGAGGACCTGCCCATGTTCCTCCTGTGCTTTATCTACATACCACCCCTGCCCATCTCTGCTACGGCAGCCAGATCGGAGGCAGAGCCATGTGACCACGTGGATGCCAGGAGGAGGAGGATCATGAGGAGGGGGAAGAATCATGAGGAGCAGCAGGATGGGATAGGGAGGACCACAAGGGCATGGGGGGTAGGAGGACTACAAGGAAGGGAAGGGGTAGGAGGACTATGAGGATCGGGGGAAAACTACAAGGAGCACGAGGAAGAGGAGTCTGACTCTTCCCCAGTTCTCAGTCCAGAGCTCCAGTCTAACTCCAGGAAAGGGAGTTTGGATGATTGCTGGGGATGAATCCGTTAAAGCCAGCACCATCTCCCACTTCCCCTTCTCTTCTTGGCTTCCAGGCTCCTGATTAGCTCCCCCTGGTTGCCCTGGGTTCATAAACCAGCCCAAATGGGGCCCAAGATGCTGGAACAGGGTAGGTGTTGAGTCAAAGATGGACCACACCATCTTTGAAGACTAATGCCTCTGTCCCCCTGGGGCCAGGACCAGCCACACCCAGACCCCTGGCAGGACTTCCAACATTAGTAAGGGCAGGAGACAGGCAGCTGGGGGAGGGATAGGACTGGCCCTGCCCAGAGTGGGAGCCTCAGCTGGAGGCCTCTCTTCCTAGGACAATCCCTCTGGGCAGCCTCAGACAGCCTGGCCATGCTCCCTTGCCACCTGGCACACCCGAGGGAGGACCCCTTCCTTACCTGGGACCAGCTGCAGGCACCTGTGGCCTTGGCCTCCTCAGGGCTGGGCTCTCCAAGTGGCCTCCAGGACAGGTGGCGGCTTCAGAGGGGCTGCCCCACCCGAAGCACCTCCTTTGGCTCCCTCCTGCTTTTCTCCGCACAGGAGCTGCCTTCGAGACCAGCAGGGCCCTGGGCTGGTAGCGTCTTCAGACAAATTTAACTCCACAAAAGAGAGAAGAGAAGCAAGCAGTGGGATGGAGTATGCGCACCAGCGAGTGGAAAAACAACCTCACAGCAGCGCCAGGCAGAGGAGGGCGGGCCGTGGGCGGTGCGAGGGGAGAGGAAATGGGGGTGGAGGTGCCGATTTGGCAGCTGCTGTATGTCCCACCAGCGTGTGCTCTGGGCTGGCAGCTGGCCCTGCTCGCTGTCACCCCTGCACCAACCTGGCCCTCCACGCCAGTTTCAAGAGCACAACTCTGCTTGGCCCGGGCAGGCAGAAGCTCTCGAGAGGTCCCAAGAGGTCCCGAGAGGGTCAGGGCAGATGTGCCATCAGGCCAATGCTGACCCCTGGCAGAATGTGCAAGGCCAGGGCTCCTTACAGTCTTCTGGCCCTTCTCCCTCAGAGCCGGGCTGCCACTGACCAGCACCTCCATGGTTCGTCTAACTCTTGGGAACTACTTCAGACTTCTGAAGGGCTGATAATTGAATTCAGGAGCATAGGGATTCTCTGAGGCCTGGAGGCAGAGCTCCGTGGGTGGAAATTAGAAGGAGGCAGGTTTCTGAAGGAGTCCCTGTAATAATCTGACACCACAGCACTCTACCCAGGACAACACAGCGAGACTCTGTCTCAAAAAAATAAAAATAAAATAAAATAAAATAAAGAATTTATTGGCTCAGTGCCTGTGGCTCAAGTGGCTAAGGCACCAGCCACATACACCTAAGGTGGCGGGTTCAAATCCAGCCTGGACCTGCCAAACAACAAAGATGGCTGCAACCAAAAAATAGCCAAGCGTTGTGGCAGGCGCCTGTGGTCCCAGCTACTTGGGAGGCTGAGACAGGAGACTCGCTTGAGCTCAGGAGTTGAAGGTTGCTGTGAGCTGTGAAGCCACTCTACCCAGGGGGATAGCTTGAGGCTCTGTCTCAAAAAAAAAAAAAAAAGAATTTATTGAATCTTGGCCACGGTTTCCATCCTTATCCATCCTTCCCTCTTCCTACTCCTAAGGCCCAGTCTCCCTACAATGAGTTATTTGGGAGGAGGTCTGACTCTGTAGGCCAAGGTGGGCTGGGAGGTGTCAGACAGAGCTGCCCAGCCTGTCTCAAAAAGTGATTAGGAGCTCCCCATCTGTGGGAGTGTGCAAGCTGAGGCCGAGGAGTCACGGGTCAGAAATGCCGAAGAAGGGAGTGCTAAGGACAGGCTAGAATATCCCTAGGATTGGAGGAGAAGACTCCCCCAACTCTGTCAGCCCTGCAAGGCTTGTGGTTCCATGATGGCGGAACTGCTGAGTGACATGCTGGCCTGCCTGAGCTGGGCTTGTCCATGTATGGGAAGGAAGGAAAGGTGACAAGTATGTATTAGTTTTTCTGTTTGTTTTTTTTCAGCTCCCCCATATGCCAAACATGGTTGAGGTCCTTCCCTAGAAGTTATCTCCCTTTATCCTCACCACAATCCTGAAAAACAGGTCTTTAATATGCATTCTGCAGGTAGATGCACTGAGGCTGAGTGGTTAGGTGACTTGCCACAGGTCCTGCAATGCTGTTGTTTGAGCCTGGGTGTACCTGACCCAGAGCTTTGCTCTTTCCTTCCAGTTTGTACCTCCCAGTACCTCTGGGCTTTCTCTTCCCACTGGAAGCCCCCCCACCCCCACCCAACACACACTTTGTCCTCCCCCTCATTCAGAGTTCAGACCAAGTCCCACCTCCTGGAGGGGCCTCCCAGCCCACCTTGGCCTACAGAGATCTGACTTCCTCACAAATAACTCAAAGGAGGGAGACTGGGCCTCAGGAGTAGGAAGAGGGAAGGATGGATAAGTAAAGAAGGAAATCATGGCCAATATTCAATGAATTCTTTATTTTATTTTATTTTTATTTTTTTGAGACAGAGTCTTGCTGTGTTGTCCTGGGTAGAGTGCCGTGGTGTCATCACTCACAGTAACCTCAAACCATCACTCACAGTAACTTCAAACGCTTGGGCTTGAGTAATCCTCTTGCCTCAGCCTTCTGAGTGGGTGGGATTACAGGTGTCCACCACAACACTCTGGTAATTTTTAGTAGAGACAGGGTCTTGCTCTTGCTCAGGCTTGTCTCAAACTCCTGAGTTCAAGCAGTGCACCACCTGAGTCTCCCAGAGTGCTAGGATTATAGGCGTGACTCACTCCTTGCCCAGCCCTCAGTGAATTCTTAGATGGGTCATACATCTCAAAGACATTTGGTGGGTAGTGAGAAGATGGTCTCCGTTTCCTCCTCCTCGACAAAGATGGTAGCTCCAGTGTTTACGTCCTTATATGTCTGCTACTGGAAGGGGGAAGCCCTCAGACTCAGAAATCAACAAATACATTAGCTCCACATGCCGAGTGCCCATCTTGTGGCACGTGTTCTTACATACAACAACCTTTTGAGGGAGGAGATATTATCCTCCTTATATGGACAAGGAAACTGAGGCACAGAAAATGAAGCAAACTGGTCAAAGACATGGTTTGAATTGGTAGAGATAGCGTCTGATCCAGTTCTGTCCCACTCTCACTGTTCCCACTCTGGGCGGCACCCCTCCACTCTCATTCCCACTGGGCACAGAGCCTCTCAGCATGTTAAAGCCCCCTCACTAGGGGTGGGGTCTCAGAGAAATGGAGAGACCTTACTCCCTGTTTCCAACTTCTCAAGCCCTGGGGATAGTCTGATTTGCCCCTGAGACCTGGGTGTGAGGGGGATTAGTGTGGTTGCCCAGGATCCCTCCATGCAAGGCCTCTTGTGTGTGATGCTAAATAAACCTGCAGTCCCCCTGGATAACTGTTGAGTAACCTCCACAGTGACTGCACTCTCTGGCTTCTTCCACTTAGACCTGGCTTCTGGCATCTTGTCAGAAAGATTGGCATCACCTGTCAACCCAGGTGTGTCACACAGTTTAGGCTGTGGGTCATGTCCTATAGCCCATGTTGGCCCACTCAGCTGATCTCAGGAGACTCTGGCCCAAATCAGAGAGCTCCTTCTTCATAAGAGGGCTGCACCTCCTGCTCCCTGATCCGTGAGCACAAGGGAAGATAGATCCTAGAAAGTCACAGGCAAGAGTGAACCCTGGGCCAGGATGTCTGTAAAACCTGAGAGGAGATAGTGAACCAGGGGTGAGAACCTCCTCAGCCTAGAAAGAGGCTTGGGAGGTGCTGGGAGGTGTGAGCCCCCTGTCCTAAACCTCTAAGTCAGTTCTGAACCCTTCTGAGGAACACTGCTTGTGTTCCGTCCAGGGTGGTGTCACAGCTGGAGCAGTGGGGTCCCCTTCCAGCTCCAAAATTCCTACCTTTAACAGGCAGGTGAGGACCTGGGCATGGTACTTACTGCCCAGCACCTGGGGGCTTCATTTTTTCATCTGGTCTGGGGGTCCAAGGGCTGTGGCTCACACTTTGCTGAAGTAAATGGCCACCTCCTTGCGTGGGGGCCGGGCCCCTTCCCCTGCCCAGCCATTGTTCAGCAATGGCTCCTCCTGGTCCAGCTGCAGGGGTGGTTTGCATTTGTGCCAGCTGGTGAGCAGCCTGTTCATGGCACCCCGATCAGTGATGCCCCGCAGCTTCTCCCTCTCTTCCTCTGCACCGTTGAGGGGGCTTGTGGTCGCCGAGGCAGCAGGAGCCACAGCCAGTGCCCCATGGGCATGACCTAACTCCAGGTCGTGGTTCATGGCCTCAAAGAACTGCTGGATGCAGACCTTGGCAAAGGCCTTGGCGTGCTCCGTGCATGTCTCATCAAAGAGCTTGCGCTCAATGTCAATGTAGTGGGACCAGTACTTGCTCTTGAGGAAGGCAGCCTGTGTGAAGCAGGGCCGCACGGAACGCACCAGGAATGCCAGCAGAGTGGTCAGCAGCACGAAGGACCAGCCCAGTGCCTATGGGGAGAGAGATAGAGTCAGTGGACACAGCCTCCTGCCTCCAAACCTATCCAGGCCCCAAAGCACTCTCCATGCCAGGACCTCTGGGGCAAAGAGCAGAGACTGGGCAAGTGACTTTGCCTCTTAGCCTCCATTTTATCATCTATAAAATGGGCTTAGAGATACCACCTTATGAAAGTAAGATCCTGGAAAAGCACCCACTGAGTTTGCTGGGCACCTGATGCACAGGGGCTAACTGGGCAGACCTTGGAGTTAGGCTGCCTGGATTTCAATCCTGTCTCCTCTTACTAGTTGACCAGGAGCAAACTTGACTTATCTGTGCTTCAGTTTCCCCAGCTATAAAATGGGACTCTATTTCATAGGGTTGCTGCCTGGCACATAGAGCTCAGTAACCACTAGCCATTGCTACCATGCCCAAAGGCCCTCTGTGCCTCTTCCTTCAGAAAGCCTTCCTCAGTCTGCCCAGACCATAGTGGCCCTTCCAACCCTGAATCCTGTATCTCTCCTGTGGCTCCTGGTATTGTCACCGGCACCAAGTTCTGGCTCTGCTCTGTCACAAACTTGCTGTGAGGTGGGGGAGGGCAGGATGCTCCCCCAACCTGTGCTCTAGGGTCCGGCCTCCAGCTGCACGGGCAGATCAAGATGAGAAATGAGGAGCAGGCAGGTCATGGCAGAGCAGGCTCAGAGTGAGGAGCTGCAGAACTTGTGAGCAGGCTGGAGGCACCTGTGCTGCCTAAGGGGCGAGTGCAGGCCTGGTGGGACTGGATCTTCTAATGTTTCCAGTAAAACTGGAAATCTGATTTCTTTTTTTGTTTGCTTTTATTTATTTGTTTATTTTTAGTCTCACTTTGTCACCCTCGGTAGAGTACTGTGGTGTCACAGCTCACAGCAACCTCCAACTCCTGGGCTAGGTGATTCTCTTGCCTCAGCTTCCTGAGTAGCTGGGACCATAGGCACCTGCCACAACGCCCAGCTATTTTTTTGTTGCAGTTTGGCCAGGGCCGGGTTTGAACCCATCATCCTCAGTATATGGGGCCTGTGCCCACTGAGCCACAGGTGCCACCCTGGAAATATGATTTCTATGGGAAAATATCTGTCGTTTAGATGATGTCAACTAATTCTAAGGCTGAATTTAGAATTCAGCCTCTGGAGGCCAAATGAAACATACTACAGGCCAGGCAGCCTGTGGCTGCTAGGGCCCTTCCAGTTTATGATGCAGGGCTCTCAGGTGGAGGGACAGGTGCAAAGGCCCAGAGGCCGGGGGTGATGGGTGAAGACCCATAGGAAAGGAGGTGCAGGTTTGGGAAGGACAGGAAGCTGAGTTCAGTTTGTGAGATGCAGCAGGGCACCTGGGAGTGGTAGAGGCCTCACAGGAGCATCGTCCCTGCTGGAGAGGGGGAGCCAAGGGTGCCTAGGCTTGCCACGGCAGAGTTGGGGGCTTCTCCAGTCCTTGCAGGGCAGGCTAGCCCCTCCCCTGTCCCTGACAGCACCTAGTCCACCAGCTGCAGGGACACACTGTCCCTACAGCCCTCTCCACCAGGGGTCCTCAAACTTTTTAGACAGGGGGCCAATTGACTGTCCCTCAGACCACTGGAGGGCCAGACTGTGGGCCCCAGGATGAGTCAGCTGCTAAGCAGGACAGGCAGCAGTGGCAAAAACACCTGGCGGGCTGGATAAATGTCCTAGGTGGGCCACTTTTTAAACAGTGGGCCAGTTTGAGGACGCCTGCACTGCCTAGAGGGGAGGCCAGAAGGGCTGTCAGCAGGTGAGGGCAGAGGACATGGGAGTGGGGCTGGGGAGGACCCACCTTGAGTCACGTCCCAGTAGTGCCTGTCCCTCACCCATGCACCCGACCCTCACTCCCATCCCTCAGCAGGGAGGTGCCAACTGGGGGTATTTGCCAGGGAAATGTACCCAAATGGCCCAGCCATCTACCAGCCTCACCACCACCAAGGCCTGGAAGAGGGAAAGATGCAAATATCCCCCAGCCTGCAAGCTCAGGAATCAGGATGGAGGATGTGGGGTCCACACTGGGGACCTCAGGATAGGCTGCTCTTGGGAAGCCTCTAGACAAGAAAGGGCTACAGCACTTCCCCCAGAGGCCCGGCCTTCAGTCTCCATGGGAAAGATGTGCCCTGGCCGGCCCCTTGGGGCTGTGTGTGTGTGGAAACCCCATCTTGAGAAGTGGGGGTGCTGGGGCCCTCCCGAGGGCCCCTGACCTGTGGGGGACACTCAGCCTGAGGCCATGCAGGCCTCTCACCTGGGAGATGCAGCGCAGGTAGCGCACAGCCACCTCTCGAGCCAGCAGCCAGTCGCCGTCATAGATTTCAGGGCAGGGCACCCGGGCCAGCAGGCGGGCGAGCTCAGGGGCAGGCAGGCCAGGCACTAGGCTGCCATTGCCCAGCGCAGCCACAGGCACAGCGGTGCAGAAGGCACAGAGGAAACACTTGCCGTCGAGCAGTGTGACAGCCACCCAAACGACGGGTGCAATGAGGGCACGCTGGGCCATAGAGCAGAACATGTAGCGCAACACGGCTGGGTCCTTGGCCCGGCGCCCTGGCGGCCGCTTCCACTCTTCAGCCAGCATGGACACGTTGTTGTTCATGACCAGGCCAAGCAGAAAGAGCACCAGCGGTGGCGCCAGCAGGATGCCCGCGCTGTAGGCCGTGTTGTAGCCAGGCAGGCAGGGGCAGTTAAAGTCGAAGGCCGAGTACATCTGGGCGCTGGCCAGTGCCATGATGCCGCAGATGCCATTCATGAAGGACTCCTGGTTGGACTGCAGGAACTGGAAGATCATCCGGAACTTGTCCATTATGCACCCCACGGCGCCTGATGGCCTCTTCCCACCTTACTGCTGCCTCAGAGTTAGCCCTGGCGGCCCACCCTGCCCACTCCCTGCCCACCTCATGACTTGGCCCTCCTGGCTGGGACCGGCAGAGCACAGGACAGTGGCTGAGGTCACTGAGGCTTTGAGGAAGCTTCTAGTCAGGTGCTGGCTTAGAGGGTGCAGCTTGGCCAATCCTGTAGGTGCAGCCAGGGTTGTGTCCCTCCCTTCTCCTCCTGGGCTTCTCTCTCTGCATAGATGCCTTTGCCTCTGGTGCTAGGAAACCATAAGGGCCACACCTTATGATGCCTTATGGGGACCAGTTTTCTGTGAGTGTGTGAGAGAGAGAGAGGGGAAGACAGGCTCGGACACAGGCTGGGAAGGGCTGGAGTTTGAAGAGTTCAGGCTGCTACAGAAGCCTAAGCTTTTGGACCTTGTCCTCTGGGCTGCTAGGGAGCATGTCACCCCACCCTCCTTTCCTTCCCAGAGGGTCTTTCCTCCATTTTGCCTCAGGATTCCAGAGGACTCCTGCATCATTCAGACAATGACAGTACAAAGCTGTGGCGACACCAGTGATGGTGGTGCTGGGGATATTGGTCATGGTGGGGATGGTGCGAATGCAGACATGGCATTGAATGAAATGCCCTGCTTTGCAGTCAGAGGACTTGGATTTGATCAGTTGCCTGTGCGGGAGCTGCAGCTTGTCAGTACAATGCAGGTACCCTGCATCACCTGCCTGTGTCTCTATGGGTGTGTCTGTGTGCTTGTGGGCTGAGGATGGCAAACCCTTTCCTGGCTCTACCTCCTACCTCTACTCCCCTTGATCAAAACATAAGGGTTGGGGGTGGGGTTTTGTGCCTGGAGCTTGAGCCTTCAGAGCATCAGGAACCAGGGTAAGACCCCTTCCACTGACACATCAAAGGGGAGGGCCAGAAAGGGCTCCCTTGGATACCCACAGCTCTCCCAGAAGGGCAGTTCAGGTCCAGCTCTAGCCAGGTGGCTCCTGTTTGGAGCAAGAGGCTGAGAATGGGGCTGAGGCAGAGCTCTGACAGGCCGTCTCCATGGGGAGTCTCCTTGTGTGCCCTTGTGTGAGCTCACTGTGGCTTTGGGCCTTTGTGTCTGTGTACCCTTGGGCATGTGTACCCACTCTAGTGGTCTTTGGGTCTGGGTGTCCCTTGCATGACCGATAAAAACTGGCATTGACCAAAGCGTGCTTTGTGTGGAACCTGGGGCCAGGTGCTTCACATACGTCTCCTCCTGTGACCCTCCTATAGTCCTGTGGGATGGGTACTATTGTTCCCATTTCATGGAGGTGGAGACTGAGGCTTAGATACATTACATCATTCGCTGAAGTTTACCCAGCTAGTAGGTATGTGGGGTAAAACCCCACAGCTGTGTGCTCCTTCACAAACTATGTGCTCCCTTTAAGCTCCAGAGGCAGGTGGACAGACTTCTGTGGAAGGCAACTCTGTCGATGACCTGGTATCCCTGGTCAGCATGGAACAGGGCCTGGGGATTAGGGCATAAAAACCCATCTCCAGTGACTCTGGCCATGTGGCTGTTAAGCCTGCAAAGAAGGGGTTAAAAACCTTTCTGCAGAGACACAGCCTAGGGGTTGATAAGTGAACTCTTATCGAAAAGTAGGCCTCCAGATTGCCAGAGACAGAAGCCATAAATCTGCTCTCTGTAATACAATGAGTGTATAGTGTAACTTCAAGGTTTTACTCCCCTCTTGGTAATCTCAAGTCTTTAGACAAACTCCCTTTTGCAGCTGTCTCAAGGTTTCAAACTTTGTGTCTTTTTGAAGGTTGAACTAACTTAAGAAAATAGTATGAATGCTTTGCTTGTTAATTAATAATGTTACGTGACCAGCCAACTATAAAAGGTGGTCTTGAACAATAAAGCTTTGCTACTTCCACCAGAGGAGTAGTCTCTCTCTTTCACCATAATAATTCCAGATGCGAGACTGCACCTATGGTGACGCTGTCTGTCTCTCATGAAACCCCAACGCAACATAGGTGGAAGAGCGGGATTGGATCCCAGGCTGATCCTCCCATGGGGCAGGAAGAGGCAGAGTTGAGAAGTTTTTTTGGCTTTTCCTTTCTTATTAAATCAAGTTCTCCTGTTCTCCTAGTCCAGGTGGAAACTCTAAGGTGGCCCCAAAATAGGGTATAGGTGGGGAAGGATATGTCCTCCCTCAGCCACCAGGCTTGGCCTAGGACTCTTGGAACACCTGAACTCCCCTGTCCTCCTGCAATACAATCGCCCCTTTCTGCCCACCAAATTCACATCCAGCCTCTGCCTGTTCATGGAGGATCTTTGTCAAGGGGTCCCCAATGGGACACCCATAGGTGGACAGCAGGATGAGGGAGACCCAGCAAAAGAGACAACTGTCTTTGGATGTCTACCACAGTCATGTGTGCCTGTCTGACAAGGGGTCCAAGCTGCTGCAGGGCCTGGCACATAGCCTGGTGTGGTGGGTGGGGCTGAGGTGAGCCTGAGCTGGTGAAGGAACCAGGAGGGATGGCCCAGGGGGCCGTACCTGTGGCACACAGCTTCCTGTTTGTAGATGACGTGCCTTTTAGTGCTGCCTATGCTGGCTGCAAGGTGCCTACTTCAACCTCATATATGCCCTCTGCAAATTCTAACTGCAGTGTTATTTTAAAATACTTGATATAGTACAGTTTGATTGGACTCTCAATTCATTATTCTCAGTATCAGGAGTTTTGGTTATAGGTGTCATTGAGAGTAAAGGAGCGTTAAAGTCTTTAAATACCATTTGAACTGTTATAAATTTGTGAATGGTTGTAAAAACCAGTTTTAAATTTATTACCTTCTTGGCAAAATTTTTAGGGGGTGATATTTATCAAAAATTTGAAGTGATCATCATTAGAATCTTAAATAGGACTTGCCTGTGGTCATTTCATGCAGAAATATCTGATCTATATTAAAAATGTGCTGGCAGGGCGTGGGGGCTCATGCGTGTAATCCTAGCACTCTCACAGGCCTAGGTGAGAGAATCCCTTCCACTCAGGAGTTCGAGACCCAGGAGCAAGAACAAGACCTCATGTCTTCTTAAAATAGAAGAAACTAGTTGAGCATTGTGGTGGGCACCTGTAGTTCCAGCTACTCAGGAGGCTGAGGCAAGAGACTCACTTAAGCATAAGAGTTTGAGGTTGTTATGACACTATGACACTCTAACCAGGGGACAGAGTGAGAAAAAAAATGTGCTTATTGAAGCAAGCTCATTTCTCATTTTGAATTGAGGAGATTGTTTTTCTTTTTTTAGAGACACAGCCTTGCTCTCTTGCCCAGGCTAGACTGTGGTAGCAAGATCATACCTCACTGTAGCCTTGAACCTCTGGACTCAAGAGATCCTTAGCTTCAGCCTTTCAAGTAGCTGGGACTATAGGCATGCACCACCACGCCTGGTTAGGGCACTCATTTGAATGTTTTATACAAATCTTTCCTAATACCTTAGTATTTTGTTTTTCTTATTATAATTATATGAATTTTAAAAAGTAAAAAATTTTTTGAGACAGAGCCTCAAGCTGTTGCCCTGTGTAGAGTGCTGTGGCATCACAGCTCACAGCAACCTCCAACTTCTGGGCTTAAGTGGTTCTCTTGCCTCAGCCTCCCAAGTAGCTGGAACTACAGGAGCCTGCCACAACGCCTGGCTATTTTTTGGTTGTAGTTGTCATTGTCGTTTGGCAGGCCCAGGCTGGATTTGAACCCACCAGCTCTGGTGTGTGTGGCTTATGCCTCAGTCACTTGAGCTACAGGCACCAAGCCAAAAAAAAAAAAAGTAATTTTTTTTTTTAATGAGGTGTCATATAGACACCTCAGTTCCCTCAGTTTGCCCAGTGTCATGGACTAAAGTTAGCGGTGTATGTGTGCACTGGATGTGAACACTGTGAGGAACCTCTCTGCTGAATGGAAGTGGGGCAGGACTGAGAGGGTGGGCATGGGCGAGGCAGGGGTGGTCTCCTGAGCACATGCGAGGCCAGAAAGCCTCACTGTCAGGAGGCTAAATTCACTGTTCCCTAAATTCATATGTTTTGAAATCCTCACTCCCAAGGTGATGGCATTAGGAGGTGGGCCTTTGGGAAGTGATTAAGTCATGAGCTTGGAGACCTCATGAAAAGAATTAGTGCCCTTATGAAAGGGACACCAGAGAGTTCTCTTGCCCTCTTTCTGCCATGTGAGGCTGTGACCTGGAAGAAGGCCCTCGCCAGCACCTGACCCTGATGGCATGCCGGTCTCAGACTTCTAGCCTCCAGAGCTATGAGAAATAACTTTCTGTTATTAAGTCACCAGGTCTCCAGTATATTTTGTTATAGCAGCCGAAACCAATACTGGGAGACTCGTTGGCTTCTGGCACCGTCCTTTACTCAATCTGTCCTCTGCAATATGATAGACGCTCTCTGTCTGCCCAAACTTACATCCAGCCCCTGCCTGTTCACTCATTGTTTCTTGCACTCAGCAGGCAAGCTTAGTAAGAAGCCATATCACAGAGTGGCTAAGAGCAACCTAAGTAGTGTCTGGGTTCAAGTATCATCCCTGCCGCATACTAGCCAGGGACCTTGGGCAAGTGATTTACCCTGTGGGTGCCTCAGCCTTCTGATCTGTGAAATGGGAGAATAATAGAGCCTACCTCTCAGATGATTGGGAGAATTCAATGAACAGATGCGGGTGAAGACTTTGGCATAGGGCCAGACACACAGTATAACTCTCAGGAAATGAAACATTGTGACTGATAATTCTCATCTCTACACCTGGGCTTTAGTAGTGTGTTTTGAAAACTGCATTGGTTTTCTTTTGCTGCTGTAGCAAACTACCACAAACATAGTGGCTTAAAACCACACAGATTTATTGTCTTGTTCTGGAGGTCAGGGATCTAAAATGGGTTTCAATGGATTAAAATCAAGGAGTTAGAAGGCTGTTCCTTCTTTTTGTTTTTTTTTTAAGAGACAGTCTCCCTTTATCAC